GATCCAGACGTGTGAGACTTACCTCACAAAGGCTGTCAGACTTGGCTGTGAAGAGATGAGCGTTACTCATCAACAAGTAACCCTTCTCACCACTTTGAAGGCAGTCTACCCTGACTTTGCTGCTCCATTGGCTAGGGAAACTACCAAGGAGGCCGTCGACAACATTACCACAGAAAACAGACTCTCTGGCAACACCATTCTTCATCAATTCAGAGCTTGGCTCGAGGCTGGCTATGGTGAAGACCACAATACAAGAGGAGGAGCTTATGCAACTTGGCAGCAGAAGAACGAGGAGCAATCTTCCCAGACATCTTCCAAGGCTGCCACTTCCTCCAACCTCACGTCATCGACTGGAAAAGCAAACAGCGAGCCAGGAAAGACAATTCCAACTTGTCCCATTGACGGGAAAAGGCACTGGTATGTTGAGTGCTGGTATCTGAACCGTCAACTTCGCCCAGAAGGACTTCAGCTTAGCGCTGCCAAGGAAGCGCAGGCGACAGCTCTTCTAAGTAAGAAGACTTGGATAGCGGAGAAGATCAAGAAGTACAACGAAACCAACAACTTTTCAGTACCGCAATCAACCCATTCAACCACTTCAACCGGAAAAGCTCACCATATACGAGCAATCACACCTTCAGACTCTGATACGGACTGGTCAGACTCCCTCTCCACCCCGGAAGAACCAAACGGCAGTTGTCAGCATGTGGCGGATGGAGAAGAGGTTAGGAACGCAGTTCTCGTCGATACTGGCGCTTCTGACCCTCTATCATGGGACAGATCACGATTCCGATATCTTCAACCAGTCAAGAAGGCGTTTGACACACCCAACGGACCGATTCAAGCAATTGCCAAGGGCTCTCTCATCGTCAGAGCATTCAACCCTACGGATGTAGAAGTAGAGCTTGCTATTCCCAACGCATACCTGATTCCACAGGCATCAACTACTTTGATCAGTACCATCAGGCTAGAAGAACAAGATCTTTGGTTTTCAGCAAGAAAACGATGCTTCGAGGATGGCGATGGTAACTCTGTGTATAGAGTATGGTCAACCAATTCACAGTATCACCTAGAACGCCCACACGAGCAGTCTGGGAATTCCTTCTTCACGTCAAGCAAGGAACCAAGAGCTCAGAGCAATGCGACGGGTCGTCTTTGGCATC